AACTTTTAGTTTGCTATGAAAATCCCCACCTCCTTTCTATTTGAAGAGTAAATTTGTTGATGCAACAAAACGAAGCAGATTTCAGTTGAGCGAAGTAGAGGACTAGGTTTCAAATTTTTTCGACAAAACGGAACAAATCGACTCTTATCGGAGCGAAGTCCGAACGATGGCTTATTGTGTATATGAGCAAAATGTATGCTCTTTGTTTGGTACATAAAGTCAGTATTACCGCAGCCGTACTGCGATGAACATGATGTCGGTGGGATATAAATAATTTTTTTGCAACTTTTCATACCCTTTCTCCCGTAAACTGTTTTTCCCTTTCTCCAGCCCGCGATCGCACTTTCGCTACTGCGCGGGTAAAAAAGTGCCCATGTCTGCTCTTAGCGAACGAATTCAACCGTTCAGTTTATCCCCTTTGTCGCTTATCATATCGATGCACGATTGAGAGAAATATAGATTGCGCCAATCGCGGTACCGCTAATCCGCTCTTTGTGATTCTGACAGAATCAGCTGTGTGCGTGACGTCATCTTGGTGCAATTGTTGATTGTGAGCATACGAAAAAACCAAATAACAATTTTAATATATGTGCGTTAATATTTCTGCGTGGTTTTAAACAATTATTGAGACATTACAAAGCAAAATGAAGTGTTCCGTGGCAAAGTGTAATAGTAAAAACAAAAGGAAAGCGTGCGATATAAGTTTTTTTTCGTTTCCTACGGACGCAAGTCTGGCGAAAAAGTGAAAGCAGTTCTGCCGGCGAGGAGATGCATTAAACACCAAATCGAGCTATGTGTGCATGAAGCACTTTACTAGTGAAGATATTGAAATTAATATTTTTACTGCTGGTATGAGGTAATGCACCAGTGGATAAGGTCGCCAGGCGCTAATTCAAGCGGCATCTTACCGCGCTGTTACGTACCTAATACAAAACAGTGGCCAAATTATTTTACATTTAAAAGTTCAGCTTAAATTATGCTTTACTTACATAGAATATTTGTTTCCAAAGAAGCCACACTCATGCATTCTCTCGGAAATGGTACAAAAGTCATCAAATAAAAGCTGTGGAGTCAACAGCTGTGGAATCTATGGTGGTTGGCTACCGTCCACAAATATAAATATGCACTCAGCATGGCTTTTTACAATGGCGAGCCCAAAAATTCACTTTGCTGCACACCTTCCTTTTGGTCCACATGAAATTGCAAACACTGTTAATACATCAATTTTTTCATGTGCTAAAATTCGCACTTACCTAAAGGGCTACATGTCCAAAGTTATTGCTACGTGTTTCTAATTAATCAATCTCTGTATATTTATTGATTCCTGCAAAATTGGGCCATGCAATATTAAAATTAACACATTTTTCTGCATTGTTCACATATTTTTATATGCTTTTTGGCATTTCTCTCTCGCAATTGCACCAAGATGACGTCACGCAAAAATTACGCTCAAAAATCATCTCTCATTGGCGCAATCTTGTATTCTATCATTCTTGGGTGGCGCCGATGACGATACCGCTACTCGGCTCTCAGTGATTTTGATAGAATCAGCTGTTTTGGTGACGTCATAGTAGAGAAGACAGCAATAGTGATGTGCTCAGTCAATACTTTCAAGTATTGATCGATATTCGGTAACGATTTAAAATGTATCCAATACTCTCGGTACCAAAACATTTAGATTTCAAATAAAAGTGCACACAGGCCAAAGATATGGAAAAAAACGGCTCAGGGGAGACTCGCCAATAGAGCCAATAGAGCTTTTAATACTGATTCAAATGAAAGATGTATATATGTCGGTTCCAGGCCATAACGCAGAGAAACTCTCACTTGTTTGAAGCATTTTTGTTCCAGCTGAATCGGAAGATATCATTTTTGGAGGCCAAGGGGCAGATTCTATAACCAGTTAGCGACAATTTTCGAATCGGTATAGGGTTTGTTGGCCTATGATATTAAATATTGTTACACCAACAAGTACGATATCGATCCGAAACTTGTCGCTAACTGGTTAGATCTCCCCCCTGAAAAGCTTCTTCATCCGTCAAAACATTTTTCTTGAACCTTGGATCGACTAAGGTTAAAACTGATAAAATAATATTTTTCTGTGGCGATAAGTTCAAGTGTTTTAGCCGATATCATATAAATTAGTAATGAAAGTTTTTTCTAAACCTGAAATGCATATAATGGCGAGGGTTTAATGTAAATAATCGGTATCGGATACCGAAAAGGAAGTATAGGGTACCGAAATCTTTTTTAAGTATTGGGTACCGAGTATTGGGGACAATTCAGCACATCACTAGTCGCCCTCATTCTCGCCGCTCTCAGTAGTCAACTCTACGATGACGTCACGCTAAAATTACTCTCACGAATTCTGCTGCAATCGGCGCAATCTTGTATTCTATCATTCTTGGCTCTCATTGCTATACGTGTATTAGTAAGATTTGTTGCCCCCTGCCCGTTTGCCCATGATTTTCCCTTATCTAGCCCGCGAAATGGGCTCGCTTGCCCATACGGGCAAAAAAGCCCAAACGGGCAAAAGTGCCCATGTCTGGCTAAGAGGGTAGATACACAGGAACGGGAGCAGAAAACGACATTCGGAAAATTAAGTGAAAGGGTCAGCAGCAAAACTAAGAATTTTTTAACCTGCGGCGAAGGTTGTTGAATATTAATTAAATAAAAGATTTGAAATCGACTTTTAATTGTTTTACTCAAGCCGGGTTCAAAAAATTTAGTTTATTGCCTACAAAATTTAAAAAATTCTTATTGGCTCCTGATCGTCGTATTCGAAATTCGGTATGTCGGAGGACTTGTCTTCGCAACATACAATAGCTGGAGCGAATAGCGCTGCCAATCTTGCAGCTTCGAGCCACGTGCCCATACACTCATTAATGGATCGTCATTTGCAAGCTCCGGTGCCAATTCTGCACCCTCGACCAACAACTTGCCAAGTATCGAGTCCAAGGAGTCCGCGAATAATGTCGAAGTTGATACACTGTCATCGCTAGCAACTTTTTGCATTTCCAATAATTTGGAATATAGTGTTTCCCCAACAACAAAATTTCAGGACCGCTGGAGGGACATCCGTTACCATTAGAGGCTAGATCAGGAGGAACGGGCCGCACTAACACGTACGCCCAACCTCTGACTAGAAATCGCCCCAGCAGCTCTTGTCATTCCATATGTTCCGCAACCTCATAAGCGACGAATTACAATGCGCAAGATATTCGGCGCATATCTGAATTGCTACAGGAACAGAGTGAGATACTTAAGCAGAGGGAAGCTCTGGTGATAGAACAACATGCTTTTTTGGATCGGATCGACGCAATCCGTCTGGAGGATGACCCCGTCGACCATCCGCCTGCAGTCCCGACATTGTTTACCAGTAATGATAGGTCAACTCAACAAATACCGCCTACTCTAAATTTAGGCTGTGTTGCTACACCAAGAGAATGAGCATCGAACCTATGCCATCCGCCTCTTGAACGTGATTTTTTGCCTGGATTATTGAATCGTCAGCCACCACTTTGCAATCCATCGGCCACTGTAATGCAGACATTATTAGACAGAATCGAATCACTGGAACAACAACTGCATGCGCTACCAACAGAGAACAGAGGATGGTTTCCTCAACAAACGGCTGATATGCCAAACCAGCAATCCCCACTAGCGCCCATAACCAGCACTGCCTATGGCGTAGCTCCTCAACGACGTCTGACGAAAGACCAACTTGCGTCTCGTAAATGCCTTCCTAGAGAACTACCGAAATACAATGGCAAGCCAGCGGAATGGCCCCTCTTTTATGCCGCGTACAATCAAACAACCAAGATCTGTGGATTTTCCGACGAGGAAAACCTAATAAGGCTCCGGCAAGCATTAGAGGGCCCAGCTCGCAACGCGGTTAAGAATCTGCTACTACATTCTTCTTGTGTTCCGCAAATCCTTTCAACGTTGCAAATGAGATTCGGGCGTCCCGAACTAATAATTAGCGTGCTGTAGCAACAAATTTGCGAACTACGAACACCATCGGAAAGTCAACTGGAAACCATCGTGGACTTTGCCATCGCTGTGCAAAATATATGTGCAACTATTAAAGCATCGGGGCTTGCCAGACACCTCATCAACCCTGAATTGTAGCAAAAACTTGTGTCGAAGCTGCCTGGATCACTACCGATGTATTCGGGAGTACACAAGCAAGGCCTGTCAAACTGCAAACTTCAGACTTTCAGTGATTGGCTCTTTCATCTGGCACAAGGAGCCAACTGTGTGCTCGTACCAACTGAGCCAACGAAGATGCGAAAACGTGGGGCTGTTAATCATCATCATAAGACGGTAAGCCGTATCGTTTGTAAGGGAAGTTGTAGTGCTTTGTCTAATTGCGACTATTTCAAGGAAATGTCTCGTAGCCAAAAATGGGACACCGTACGCCAGCTGAAATTGTGCTACCGGTGCTTGAAAAAGCATTTAGGGTCTGACTGCAAATCGAAGGCTACCTGTAACGTAAATGGATGTACTCGCTACCACCACCCATTACTGCATAACGAACCTTCGGTTACCACTAACGAACAAACGTGTAAAACCAACATGAAAACACAGATGGCTAATATCAACGCTCATAACGTTGGCGAAGAGGGTACACTTTTCCGCGTCTTACCTGTAGTTTTGCACGCGGGTGCTAATAGTGTGTCAACATATGCCTTTATAGACGTCGGCTCCTCTCTCACTCTAATCGATGAAGAACTGCTGCAACAGCTGAATGTGAAGGGCACCCCACAGCCACTTTACCTTCGCACTTTAAATCCAGATTAGGTGATGACTACGCGCCTATATCCGAGAAAACTAAGCTCGGGTGGACAGTCAAAGGCCACAGATCTATAGCACTTCAAGGTGCAACTCAATACGTCTATCACATATGCGACTGCTCTGAGCATAAAGAACTTCGTCAGGTTGTTAAATCCCACATTTGTCTCGATAATTTAGGTGTGGTGGCCAATACCCCAGCGTTGATGTCTAAAGATGATGAGCTTTCCGTAGAACAGCTAGAGGAACACACCGTTCGAGTAGGTGATCGCTTTCAAACTAGCTTGTTGTGGAAGCATCCTAATATGCAGCTACCAGACAGCCTGCCTATGGCAAAATATCGCGCGAAATGCTTGCTGAAGAAAATGCAACGTGACCCACAACTTGCTGAGCAGCTTCAAAATAAGATTGCCAACTATCTGCGAAAAGGATATGCCCGGCGAATGACATCCGAGGATGCTGCCGCCAAAAGATATTGGTACTTGCCTGTTTTTGCAGTGAGTAATGCTAATAAGCCAGGCAAGGTTCGCCTGGTGTGGGACGCAGCTGCTACGGTAAACGGTGTTTCGCTTAACACTATGCTCTTCGCCGGCCCTGACCTGACAACCCCACTTCTATCCGTTTTATTTAAATTTCGACAAAAACGCGTCGGCATCACTGCCGATATAGAAGAGATGTTCCATCAGGTGCGGATCCGTCCTGCGGATCAAACTTTTCTGCGTTTTCTGTGGTACGAGCAAAATAATACAGAGAGAGATGACGTTCGGGTCGAAATGTTCTCCGAGCTGCGCTCAATTTGTAAAAAAAACAAAAACGCAGCTGAGTTTCGAGATCAATTTCCTCGTGCTGCTCGATGCATAGTGGAAAATCACTATGTTGATGACATGTTAGACAGTGTGGACACCGATGAGGAGGCAGTGCAGCTGGCACTAAACATTCAATATATCCATTCCAAAGGTGGGTTTCATATTCGAAATTTTCTTTCAAATTCAGACCGCGTGTTGAAGGCTTTGAATGTAAGGTCAGACAAAGCCCTTTGCCTAAATTTCGAAAGTGAACTACCAACCGAAAAGGTATTAGGTATGTGGTGGATTGCATCTACAGACCATTTTACCTTTAGAGTATCAGCCAAGTACAAGGAATCTAACTTATTAGTTTACCAACGTCGGCCAACTAAACGTGAAGTGTTGAGCCTTGTGATGACAATCTACAATCCGCTTGGACTCATCGGATTTTACGTGATATTTGCGAAAATAATCTTACAGGAGATATGGAGATCAGCTTGCGGCTGGGATGATCGCATTCCTGACGAGCAGTTTACAAAGTGGCTTCGATGGATTCGCCTTATTCCAAAAATTGAAAACATGCGTATTCCACGCAACTACATACGCACCGAGTTTGACAGCCCGCCTCAAATAGAACTGCATACCTTTGTCGATGCTAGCGAGTCAAGCTATGCAGCTGTGAGCTACATGCGTTACTCAGATGGTAAAATTGTTGACTGTGCGATGGTTTCTAGTAAAACTAGAGTCGCACCACTTAAGGTGATGTCTATTCCTCGGCTGGAATTGAAGGCAGCGCTCTTGGGAGCTCGTCTCTCTAAGCACGTCAGAGAATCACACTCCATTTCAATTGCCACTTCCACATATTGGTCCGACTCGCGCACCGTCTTGGCCTGGCTACGAGCTGATCATCGCCGATACAAACAGTTCGTCGCCTTTCGAGTCAGCGAAATTTTGAAGTTTACCAAGGTGGATGAGTGGCGTTGGGTGCCAACCATCCACAATGTTGCCGATGAAGCAACAAAATGGCATGGAGATCCCGATTTTTGTAATGAAAGCCGTCTACAGGGACCCGCATTTTTAAAGTTGAAACCGGGTGAGTGGCCTGTCCAGCAGATGAATGTGAAGAGTGAGCTTTCTGAAGAACTTCGCCCGCAGTATGTGGGCTTCAACCGCGAATTAGCACAATCAAATCTCATCACTGCCAATCCTGAGCGATTTTCTTCGTGGAATCGTCTTCTTCGTACCACTGCGAAAATCATAAGTTGTGCTCGAAGCTGGCTTAGTGTGGTACGAGGCGGCGATGTTGTGCATAACGAGCTCGACTCTGAAGATCTTTGTAAAGCGGAAAAGCAACTCTGGAAAAAAGCACAGCTCGACGCTTTCGCTGATTCAATAGCTTCGTTATTGAAGCGAAAATGCATCGAAAGGTCTAGCGATATTTATAAATTATCACCTTACCTTGACGACGATAACGTATTGCGAATAGACGGGCGAGTAAAACTGAATGAGAGAAAAGATCCTGTGTTGCTACCACGCAATCATTACATTACACGTTTTCCTACACAGGAGTGGATTATTTCGGCCCACTTCTAGTTACTGTGAAGAGAAGCAATGAGAAAAGGTACGAGGTCCTATTCACATGTCTAACTACGAGAGCCGTGCATATCGAAATTGCCTATTCGCTATCTACAGACTCCTGCATTCTCGCCATACGTAACTTTATGGCACGGAGAGGTAGTCCGTTAGAATTCTTAAATCTTAAGGGCGCGGAAAGAGAACTCAAAAACACATTCGGGCAACTCGACCGTGAACAACTGACCAAGACCTTTACGACACCAGCAACTAAATGGCACTTTATACCGCCTGCGTCTCCCCACATGGGTGGAGCCTGAGAGAGGCTTGTACGTTCCATAAAGAACGTACTCTATCGCATCATGCACCACACACAACCGAACGACGAAGTTCTTCGGGCAGCCTTAATGGACGCAGAAATGATAGTCAACTCGCGCCCACTGACTTGATCCCATTGGATCATGAAAACGATGAAGCACTAACACCCAACCACTTCTTGTTGGGTAGCTCGAGTGGCGTTAAACCAATTGCTGAACCAGTAACTGAAGGTGTTTTATTGCGACGTAATTGGCGATCTTCTCAGCAACTTGCCGACGCCTTCTGGGAGCGTTGGGTCGCGGAGTACCTTCCCATCATAACGCGAAGAAGTAAGTGGTTCGATGACGTAAAGCCGATCGAAGTTGACAACATTGCCTATATAGTCAATCAAAACAATCCAAGAAACTGTTGGCCAAAAGGAAAGGTAGTTAAAGTGCACACGAGCCCTGACGGAAGGTTAGGAGTGCAACACTTAAGACTGTATGTGGCGTATATGAGCGACCTGCTGCCAAAATTGTTATTCTCGATTTAATTTCGGTACACCCTGATTTACAGGGTATACCAGGGGGGAGTGTTGCAAACAGTCTGGCAGCATCACCACCGAGAGCTTTGCTTCGCGACAAATAAAGCTCAGCGTGAGTCGTTTGCTGATATGATAAGCGACAAAGGGTAGAAACTGAACGGTTGAGTTCGTTCGCTAAGAGGTTAGATACACAGGAACGGGAGCAGAAAACGATACTCGGAAAATTAAGTTAAGGGTCAGCAGCAAAACTAAGAATTTTTTAACCTGCGGCGAAGGTTGTTGAATATTAATTAAATAAAAGATTTGAAATCGACTTTTAATTGTTTTACTCAAGCCGGGTTCAAAAAATTTAGTTTATTGCCTACCTCTACCTCTTTTTAAATGACTACATTTCATTAACCTGTGGGAAAATGTTAAAAAATCAAATGAAGCTGTAG